GGTCTGACCCACGGCTCTGCCAATGCCCCTGCCCTCAGCCCCTTGGGAACACCAAAACGTGCTGCAAGTACAATGCCAGCACCTGTGAAATATTATGTCAGTCAGAGCACAAGCATCAGCCGCAGGTTCAGAAAGGTAAGCACCCCCCATGCAGCCTCGTACCACTGCCCAGGTTCATTGCAGGCGAGAGGCATATTGCTTTCTCCTTCCCTTCCCTCTCAGCAAGAGCAGCAGCCACCACCCCGGCAAAAGGGAACGATGCCCTGATGGGCTGATGCCCACAGAGGGAGAGCTCAGCGCTCAAGGCGGGGACCGAAGTGCCAGCGCTGCAGCCCTGGAGCAGAAAAGCCTTTCAGCTGCAGCAGAAGCAAGGTCCTAGAGCAGAGCTGCAGCGCTCAGCCCTCCTCCTCCCAATGAGTCCCGTCCCCATCACAGCCAGGGAAACTGCCCATTTCAGGCAGCCACCGAGGCAGAACTAGACCCCCAGCAGCTCCCCTGCAAAGACTGGCAGGCAACCACAAAGGAGAAGCGGGACCACGAGCCCAGAGGTCCAGGAGAGTCCTCCAAGAATGAGGGGGCTTCCTGCTGCAGGGCACGGCATAGCTGGGTCTCTATCGATGCTCGAATTCCTGCAGCACTTTTCAGCGCAGGCTGTGTGCAGAGCTAAGAGCATGCCTCTGGGGAGCCAGGCAGAGCCGTTCCGAGGTCCTCGAGCCGGCTCCAGCACCAGAAGCAGTGCAGCAATGCAAGCGCAGCGCTGCACCAGGCTAGCCGGCTCCATTGGGGTTATGAGCCACTGCCCCCACCTGCAGAATCAGCCCCTTCAGTGCTCAAAGGTGCCTAAAAGCCACCTGCCCTGAACTGCAGCAGAGGGCTGGGTGCCCAAACAGGGCACAGGATTAGCGCCAGGCCTCCCTAGACCCAGGGCACGGCTGCAAGCGGGGGGTACCTCAGAGTCATGGTTGAGCCTGTAGACGTAGAGCTGCGACGTCCCCGCCACCACCAGGTTGCGCTCAGTGTTGGAGAAGAAGTTGCAGTACATGGAGAACTCCAGCCCCGTGGGGGGGTGCGCCTGCTTGTACACCGCATACATCCCCACTGGCTCCCATGCACGCCGCCCTGCAACGACACGCGGCTGTCACCTCGGCAGGTCACATCCAGTCCGACCCCTGCTCCAGGCAGACTGTCCCCGACTCGACCAGCCCAGCAAGCGCCTGCCCAAGTGGCTCTTGAAAGCTCCCAAGGACGGAGATTCCCCCATGTCTTTGGGCAGCTGAACCACCCGCAGCATCAGCACTTTCCTCATCCCCAGCCTCAGTTTCCCCTGCTGCAGCTTGAAGCCGTTCTCCTAGTCCCGTCCCCAACGGCCACAGAGAGAAGCCCATCCCCACCATCTGAAGGCTGTGATTAAATCCCCCTCCGAGGCTTCTCTTCTCAACGCCCCTCGCTCTCCCAGCCCCTTCTCAGCAGTCTCGTCTCCCTTGAACGTCTTTGCTGCCCTGCTCTGGACTCTTTCCAATCTGCCCACATCCTTCTTCAAGCACGGGGCCCAGACCTGGACAAAAAGGCTCCAGGGGAAGCCTCCCCAGGGCTGCACAGAGTGGAGAATCGCTGCCCTTGACGTTCGGGTGACGCCGCTGTTCGTGCAGCCCAGCAGGAGCCTTGTGCTGGCCCCGTCTCCGCAGCGCCACTCCCCAGCCCGCACCTGTGCACACAGCTATCCCACCCCAAGTCACGGCTTATAATCGCCTCCTGGATTCCTGCTAATCTCTTCACGCCGCCAGCTCCTCCTGATGAAGAACATCTTGCATTCGAAAGCTTGCCTGACACTATCCCAACTACCCAGCTGGTGCAACCCAAGACATCGCCTGAATAACCCCCTGCCTCTCACATAACGTCTGGACCATCGCTGCTACAACATCGCTCTCACGCGATCATCCTTCCTCCCGCAGCGATGTCTGCTGGCTGCTCTCCGTAACGTCTCTCGTGCATTTCACAGCCCTGCACGCTGTCTTCAGCTCTAGCTACAAACCTGAGCTCCCGGGAGCTCGCGTTAACGCCGGTGAGCAAACAACCGGCAGCGTCAAAGTGCTCGAGGAGGCAGATTTTGTGCTACAAACGTGAAGAAGGCCCCTGCTAGGTTGCGTACATTATGCAATTAGCGGGTGATCGCACACTACGTTTCGACCGGCCACGCGCGCAAAGTAATCGTGACATAAAAATGGGCGCCCAGCCACAAAGTCGGTGCTTGAAAATATGTAACAACTCCCGACACTGGTTTCTACCCAGCTTCTGTTGCACGGGTAGCAGGACTGCACGCCGGCAATTAGCAAAGTGCGTCCGTGGGGGCGTCAATCCCTAGGGCGCCTGGGGGGCAGCCTGGCCACACGGCCCCCAGGCGGAGGGAGCATTAGGGCCCGGCCCAGCGGGATGCTGCTGGGGGGGCCCAATCCGCGGTCCGGCTGGTGGGGGCAGGGCAGGCGGCCAGG